GGTGTGTCTGTGAGTGTGTGTGTGTGTGTGTATGTGTGTGTGTGTGCGTGTGCGTGTGTGTGTGTGTTAAATCAAGGGGGAAAGGCCAACTTCTAATTTGGATGAACGTAATGTAGAATAGGGATAAAAAGACAATCCATAAACTAGAGCAATTCAGTGGAAGTAAAAGCTTGGAGCCAGAGGTGACCCAGAGAATATGAGCCCTCAGGGAATTTGCAGAAACCTTGGGGAGAACATTATAGCTGACAGAACATGGAATAAGGGTTCAAGCCAATTATGTCTAGATCTTAAGGGCAAGGAGATCCCAGCAGAACACTAGTTTACAACCATAAGTAAGTGAATCGTGAGTAATTGGAAAATGAAGTACAAAAAAAAGAAAAGAAAAAGAAAAGCAAATAAGCAATGGTCACCTAGAGCTCTCATACGTTTATTAAGAGTAAGTCATGCCAATCTAACCTCATTTCCTTTATAACTGGGGTTACTAGACTGATAAATTCACGATGCCACAGACAATATATCTTGATTTCAGGAAAGCCTTTGAGAAAATGCTTGAGGGTGAAATAAAGAAACATGGTTTAAATATTAGCCCAACAAAGCATGCATGAGCTCACTTCAGTAACTTACTCAAAGTGTGCTGGTATTTGATTGGTATTATCTGAAAAGAAGATATGATACTGTTTCACATGTTACTGAACATTTTTACATCAATGATTTTGATTAAGAAATTTGAAAATGACACTAGGTTAGAAGGGGAAGACAAAACCAAGAGTCAAAAAGATCTGCATGAACTGTAACCAAAAAAAGCCAGAATTAAGATAAAGTTCAGTGAGTATAAATGTAACATTTGCATGTAAAATAATAAAACTAGTATCAGATGAAAAAGGCCTGGATTAAGAGTAGTTTGAAATCAGAGACTTGGAGGTTTTAGTGATCACAAAATCAATATGAATCAATAGAACAACAATGCTACCATAACAGGTTAGATAATGTTAGACATCAAATCAGGGAGATAATTGTCTGATTATACTACCCAATGTTCACATCAGAGAGTTTTGTTTTGATTCCAAGATGCCACATTTTATGGGAGTTACCTACAATCTAGAATACACATAGAAAAGGATTTACAGAGATGATTTAGGGACTTCTGTTTCTTGTGATGGAGTCATAGTGGCGCAGTGGATAAGAGCTCAGGCTGCTAACCAAAAGGTCAGCAGTTCAAATACACCAGCCGCTCCTTGGAAACCCTATGAGACAGTTCTACTCTGTCCTACAGGGTCACTATGAGTCCGAAACAACTTAATGGCAATGGGTTTTGGTATTTCTTGTGATAGCAAATTAGCAATTCAATCCAATCTTTGTGATGAAGAAAACAAACAATGCTTGATGAAATATAAAAATACGTCATCTTAAAAACATGAAAGAGCTAATAAAAGAGTAAGGACTTTCCTGAAAAGAGCTGCAGGAGAGACGATGTTCAGCACACAATCAGAAATGATCATTCACATGAGAACAAGACACAATGAGTGAAAACCGACAAAAAGCAGAAGCAGACACCCAGAGTCCAGAACAGGAGTTTTCAAACTCTGACCATGAAAGAACTTTGTTCACCATGTTCAAGCAGATCAAAGTCAAGATCAAAAATTTCAGCAGGAAACTAAAAGCCATACAAAGTGACATAGCCAACTTAAAAAGACAGAGAAATTCTAGAGTATTCAGAGTTGTCATGCAAGGAATGGTTAAGGGTCAAGGAATGTTTAACCTAGATAAGGGAAGACATAGGGAAGTCCTAAGAGTAATAATCAGTTTTTGAAAGAAAAAGGAAAAATGCCTTCTACTATTGCTTTGATTCTACGTTGCTCCAGAAAACAAACCTGGAAGCAATGGATGGGAATAGTAGGGAGGCAGCTTTAAGCTCAGTTTGAGGAAAATGTCTCCAACAATCAGAATTGTCCAAAATAGGGTTCACTGTCTCACAGAACTGATTCATTGTTAGCAATCATGTATATTGTAAGACAGCTGTATATATTGCACATGGTAGAAGAAAGTCTATCTACTTCAGGTAAAATATTAGATTATGAGGACACTGACTTTTCTCCACCATGATTCTTTTGATTCCAAGTAGAAATTTAATATAACCATAAACATTACAAAAAAAATATCTAAAGCAATACTTCCCAAGATACACTCTGAGAAAGTTCCAGGCTATCATAGAAGAGTTCTAGGGTTAAAAAAATTTTTTAAAAAAATAGAAAACTCTGGATTAAGCAAAGTGAAGATTTCTCTGCTGAAATATTTCTTACCTACTTTAACGTGCTAATCTGCATCAAAAATATTCAAGGAGAACAACCCAAGTGTCCTTTAACAGATGAATGGATACACAAAATGTGGTATATACATACAATAGAATATTATTTGGCCATAAATGGAAACGAAGTTCTAATATGCTACAATATGGATGGGCCTTAGAAACATTATGCTGAGTGAAATAAACACAAAAGGACAAATGTTGTAAGATTTCACTTATCTGAAATACCTAGAATATGCAAATGCATAGAGACAAAAGTTTATTAGTGGTTACTAGGGGCCTGGGGGAGGAGGAAATGAGAAATTATTACTTAAGGGTACCGAGTTTTGGTTTAGGGTGATGAAAAACATTTGGAAATGTACAGCGGTGATGGTTTCACAACATGGTTTATGTAATTAATGTTACTGAAATGTACATTAAAAACGGTTAAAATGGCAAATGTTTTGTTATGTATATTTTGCCAGAATACATTTTTTAGCTATTCAAAGGGAACTTCTGTGTTCAGCACTGACCTCTCAAAACAATATTTTTCATGATGCATACTTATAAGACAGGTTCTGCAGAATACTGTTGAGAAAATGTTAGAGTAAATAATTCTTAATGATTTCAAAAAAATTATTTTGTCTTCATTCTATGTGAATTGAAAAGAATTGAGCTGATAAAATTCAAATACAAACTTTTCATAAGGATGAAAGAATGAAAAATTATCACAATTTACCACAAAAGGTCTTCCTTTCTCTTTTGTAAGATGTCATTTTCTTTTTCATTGACGACGTATCGTTGTTGTACTGTACATACTTCGTAAATAGTTTAAAAATCTAGCCCAAGATCAGACTCTGACAAAGGCATCGACAAGTTTGAGATAGTTCGGTACTGATATTTAATAATCTACTGTAGGCCTGTGAACTTATCTAAACACTTCTAAAAGCTATTTGTAGTAAAAGTTGTTCTCACCCTTGGAGTACTAAATTTCAAAAGTTGTGTGTGTGTGTGTGTTTTTTCCTATTGCCTTGAGCAAGTTACTTAAATTCAATGCACCTCAATTATCCCATCTGTAAAATAGGAATGATAATTATAAGGTTGTGAGGATTGAATTAAAGGAGCTAATTTCATCAGCAAAGTGCCTGGCACATTACAAAAAAAAATAAATACTAACTATATTTTTAATTGCAAAACGTGTTACTTTGTTTTTGTCTGACCTACACTTAACCTCCTGCTTCAGTTGAATGAATATGTGTGAATTACCTACCACTGTGCCTAGCACTTAACTGGCACCAATTGAAATGGCAGTGAAGGTGGTTGTGGTCTTTATAAACAAATACCTCTTTATTGATTGTGAAGCTGGCAATTTTTACCTTACAAAAGCCCTCATTATGTTTTATCTCAACAAATCTACAGTCTGAACATAGGAAATAGTGGGTCATTAGAACTAGGAATTACTTGGCACTTAGTCTTTCATAACTATTCCTTGTTTCCAGCATTTATTAGTGTCTGTGTTCACACATAAGGAAAACATATCTCAGAAATGTTTAGGAATTTGTCTAAGGTTATAGAACAAACCAATAACCAAGTAACAGCAAGAACTGTCGTTCGACTATCTCACCTACAAACCTACTAGTAGATAGCTGGTGATGAGAACTAATCTCTTTCCTAAAAAGCTACTTAAGCAAAACAAAAGGAAAAAAGTGTTAAATTGGTTTTTTTACACTAAAAAGCTATCAAAAGAAGAGAATATAAAAGTACAAAGGGAGGGTCACTCTTCTTTAGTATTAAAATAAGCAATAGTGAGTAAGATAAAGATGGAAAGATAGGTTTAGCTTAGCAATTAGAGAAAATGATTTTGACAAGAAGGTCATTTGTTTAATGGAGTAGTAATATTACAATCAACAGGCGCCTTAAAGAAAACACAGATGTATTTATGGACAGAAGTATAAGGGTTCTACTTAAAGCAGGAGATAAAGCAGACATTCCAAGATGTTCTTTGCAAACTTAATGACTCGGTCAAACTAAATAAATTAAGTAAAAAAAAAGCTTCAATAAAATTCTCTTTCTATTCAAACTGTGCTACATGGATTTGTCTAACAAAACAAAGCAAGCAGGATATCTTACTGCCTTCGTTATCTCCTAGTTAACATATACTCTTTACTCATATTAAATCCATTCATACATTTTTCATAATGGATTACTATAGATATCACAGACCACCTACAAACACACTGTTTATCTTGGATCAAAAGGAGCTGGCAAAATAGTAATCCTTTACAAACTGGGATAAACTTCCAAATGTCTTAAGCTTTAAAGATTCACTTTCTCAAATCATTCATAATTTGGAGGAGAAATACAAGAAAGTGCAAAGAAAGATGATAAACAATTTATGTATATCTTATAGCCATAAGAAATTATAATCACATAGGGCATAATAACTTAAATGGTCAAAAGCCTAGAACTTTGTCCCAGCCATTTCCTTATCAGTAAGCCATCTCGTTTTTCAATTTGCCACTAGCTTTAGAACTAAATTCTGGCTTAGTTCTCCTGAGGAATACGTTAGTCTTCACAATTCTATCCAGTCAGCTTCTGATGGGTCATGTTAAGAAACGAGGGTGAGGCTGGGATGCACTAGGATTGATGCCAGGTTCATAAAATGGAATTAGAAGTGAGAACAATGCCAAGGTAAATGAGGTCATCTTTTACTTACAGCTGACACGTGCTGCAAGAGACACATGACATCAATCATGTCCGCAAGGATAAGGAGTCTAGTCACTGCAGCCAACAAGGCGCGGGCGGCTTGAACCACAGCCTCCCGTTTCGGGAGGTAACAGGGGTCATCTGTAAATCTTTCAGCTGATACTTTCAGAGCTTCACCTGAAAAACACAATCCCCAAATAAGTTATACTGTCAGTTTCAGCTATGCTTATTTCAACACTTATCAGCCAACCTAATTCCAAGCACATTCAATGACTAAGCATAATATTAAAATACTGTCCGTTGGCACTAGAATATCGCCTCTTAATTAACAATGTAGTGTCAAACTGACATTTGTTTTTGATAAATGGTCTGGAATTTAAGAAGCATGAGACCATCTTCCTGCAAGAAAACTGTGCTCAGCTGACTAGCACCATCTAGTAAAACTGCTGTCAACTTCTGCATTGGCTGACTCTCGTTTGTTGTGAAAGTTTCATTACTAAGACTTCAGCTGGAAACAATCCTGTTTATAAAAATAAGGTAAATCTTCACTGAGTTACTTTCCAATCCAATGGATGTTAGACAAGCGCCAGCCTTTAAGATAATAAGACAGCAACTCTCTGATAAAAGTTTAACATAGGCAGATTTATCCTAAACTAGCAATATAATAAACTACAGCCTATGCTTAGTCATAGAAATAATGATACTTCATAGTACATAATTGTTAGAGAAATATCATGTCTGCTATTTTTAAAGTTTTTTCATGTAAAATATATTTTATTACAAAAGTAATGTATACTCATTTATTTTTAGAAGTTCATAGTTCAGAAAGGCATAAAATGAAAATTCTCCCTCCCTCCTTCCAGTAACGTAATTGTTAGAGAATTACAACATCCACAATTATTTAAGTTTAATTTAAACGTGTTTTATTATAAAAACATTATATAAAAAATTTACAGTACCAAATAAAAAAGAAAAAAATTTTGTATACTAACCCCTGAAATACCCACCCTTCAGCTCTTATATATCTATAGTGAAATTTTCTCTGAATCCAGCCAATAGCTAGATAGATAGATAGATGATTTTACATGTTATAAGAAAACACATAGATATCATACATGTCATAAATGGAAAATATAAATATAGAAGATAACATACATACACATCCTTTTCACGTATGGTATGATACTATTTAAACTTTCTACAACTTGTTCTTTTCACTTACTATTCTTTTCACATTGGGATATAGATGACCAGTCTGCCTGGTTCAGTGCCCTGCTACTCTGAACAAGTCACTTAACCTCTTTATGATGCATTTTACTCATCTGTAAGTGGAGCTAGTAATAATAATACCTACATTTTTATGAAGACTAAATAAAGGCAGTGCTTGGTATTTAGTAAACACTTGATTAGCTAGTATTGTTATTCCTTATAATGCTTGCATAGTTACATTTTATTGATACCCAACTCTAACCAACCAGTTGCCATCTAGTAGAGTCTGACTCATGGAGATCCCATGTGTGCAGAGTAGAACTGCTCCATAGTGTTTTCAAGGTTGTGACCTTTGAAAACAGATCAACAGGCCCTTCTTCCAAGGTGCTTCTGGGTGGGTTGGAATCACCAACCTTTTGGATAGTAGTCAAGCGCTTAATCATTTGCGCCACTGGGGGATTCTTATTACCTATGATTTTTCAGGAAATTTCCAGTAGAAATGGTAAATTTTTAAGACCAGTAAATGGGTGACTTTTATGTGCTTCCCTACAAATTAGAACTGCTGCTAGGAGATTGTGAAAACTTAAACTGACCTCCGAGATTTAGGAAGCAGATGAATTCCCACAAAAAATATTCTCTTTTCTTGTCAGGATTCTGAATTGGAAAATTATAATAGCCTTGTAGAATATTGTCTTTGACTTCATACACTAAAACAAAATGTATATCAATAGAGAGTTATGTGTTCTTGACTTTAAAAATGTTGGAATGTTGAACAATTGGCTGAAAAGCCATACTCAGAAAAAAATAATTTAAACAACTATTAAAGTCTCTGCCTCCATTAAAGTAATACCATGAAGAGTCAGCCAGGTAGCACTGCTGGGAGGGAAAAAAAAAATCACTCCCGAATACATTAATAAAGGTGCAGTAAGTAAGCTTTCCATTACTGGGCCTTCCAATACTCCCAATCCTTTACAGCTGGTTTCATCTCATAATTCTGGTCGCAACTTAAACATCACTTCCTCTGTGAAGCATTAGATCTCCATTACTGAGGCAAGTTACTTTCTAGGTACAGGCAGTCCACAGGTTACAAACATCTGACTTTTGTACAACTGGTAGTTATGAACCAACCCCCATAAAGCCTATTATATTAAAAATTCGAGGTACATACAGTGGTTCATAATAACAAACAGGTGCTACTTTGTGATGCATATCAAAACATTATTATTATTATTATTACTGTATTATTACATTAAAGATGTTTTAGTGTATCTGGAAGTGTTTCTTTAATGTTTTTTATAAGGTATACTATGTACCATATACTAAGACAAAAGTTTACTAACTGCTGTTAGATACAAACCATACCTAACTGTCTGATTTACATATAAATTCAACTAAACACAGATTTAGGAATGGAACTCGTTCATAATCCCTCCTCATCATCTATTTCATGACTTGTATCAAAGCCTGTCTTCTCTGCTGGACCACGGTGAGATCAAGGGCTTCACTGGTCCTATTGACCACAGTATCCCAGGGCCCAGAACAGTGCCTACTCTATTGCATATATTCAATACATTGGCTCTACACCACTAAATGAATATGTAAATAAACATTACTCAACTTTTTTTCAACAAACATCTACTGTTCTGAGAGACAGCCTAAGATGGCGGCTTAGTCAGATGCACCATGCAATCCCTCTACAGCAAAGATCCAAGATACCAAGTGAAACAGATACAGATGACAATTCTGGAACCAAGAGCATCAAAAGGAAGGATGAAGAATTATATCGAACACCAACTTGAAGGAGAAGATGAATGAAAATAGTGAACGAGGAGAGGTACGGATCAGAGGTGACCTGCTTGCTGGCCTGTCGTAGCATGGTCATTCATCTTGAGACAAAGTGAGCATAAACCTCAGGTGAGGAGCACAGGAAGGCAACTTCACAGAATTCCCAGTAGGAGACAGAGAACTGTGTACACAAACCTGGAGTGAAGCAATGTGAGCAGGCTATAAACCAGATCTAAGAAGAGAAAGTACAGGAAGACAAGTGAGAGCTCCAAGGATCCTGGTGACCACACAGCAGGGAGGGAGCCAGGAACCAGAGAAAGGACCATTCACAATCGTCAGTCCCTGACCATTAGGGTGGGTGGCGCATACAGAATAGTGGATCCACAGAGCATCAGCAGGAGGTCCCCTACCCAACCAGACTTCAGGCAGCCCACTCCCCATCCTCGCATTCGCTCACGGGCCAGGTTCCGATTGCTGGCTGCAGCCTACAGGCAGTGCACCAGAACCCGTGCCCAGCGACTAGAGGAGCATGCTCACCCTCACTTCCCCCTTCCCTCCCAGTGACCAGGGGCATAAGCCCCCCACCTTCACCTCCCCACTCTCCCAGGGACCATAGTACAAGCTCCTCCCATTCCCGCCACCCACCCCTGCCCTGCCCACAACTAGATACGCACATCCACCCTGCCCAACACCCTAACACCACCTACCCACCCAGAGAGTGGCAGCATGCACTTACACACCACCAGACCAATGACCAGCAGCAGTGAGCACCCACACAGCCCATCCCCTGCCATGGCCCCACACATCTGCGATTGGCCATGCATGCCCACCCCACCCATGCCTCCCTGCCCCCACAACCCCGCCCACCCAGCAATAGGTGGAGAGTGCTCCTGTGCCACCAGACCAGTAATCAGGGCATGCCCACCCTGTCTGCCATAAAATATCAAAACAAAACAAAAGAAAAAAATTAGGACAAAACAAACAATAAATATATAACACCTTAATGCCTCAGAGACAAGGGACAATAACAAATCATATGAAGAAACAAGATAGCTCAAACAAGTAAGCAAAATAAAGTGAAAGAACACATTCCTAATGAAGATATGATAATAGAACTACCCGAGAAGGAACTCAAAAGACTTATACTTAGGATCTTGAAAGAGATCAAGAAAAATACAGGAAAAAGCTCTAGAGGAATTCAGGAAAACAGTATAAGAACAAAATGGCAGACTCAATAGACAATTAGAAAACATACAAAAATAACAACTAGAAATTCAGAAGATTAACAATAAAATATCAGAAATAAATAACACAATGAAAGACACAGATGTAGAATTGAAACACTAGAAGAAAGAATCAGTGAAATAGAGGACAAATCCCTACACACTAATTTGTTTGAGGAACAATCAGAAAAAAGAATGAAGAAAGCCAAAGAGTTATGTGGGAAACCATTAAGAGGAATAATTTACATGTAACAGGAATTCCAGAAGAGGGGGAGAAAAAAATTACAGAGAGAATTTTTGGAGATATATTGGCAGAAAACTTCCCAAATACCATGAAAGACAAAAAGGTTTCCATCCAAGAAGCCCAGTGAACCCTATACAAAATAGAATCCAAAAGAAATTCACCAAGACATACCATAATCAAACTTTCCAAAACCAAAGACAAAGAATTCTGAAAGCAGCTTGTGAAAAACAAAATATCACTTACAAAGGGGCACCATGCAGGCAAGAAGGAACAGGATGGCATAAAATCCTGTAAGAAAAGAATTGCCAACAAAGAATCATATATCCAGCAAAACTATCTTTCAAACATGATGGTGAAATGAAGACATTCCCAGAGAAGCAGAAATTAAGGGAATTTTTAAAAACCAGACCAGCGTTACAAGAAATATTAAAGGGAGTCCTTCAGAGAGACAACCAACAACATCAGACAACAACCTGAGATAAAGACACATGACAACATCACCCATATACCAAACTAGATAAAGATTTCACAAAAGTAAAATAAAGCCATAAAACTGACTACAGGGAACCAGAGATGTTAAGCTGTGAATGACGCCAACATCAAAACAAAAAGGGGAATAAAAGGTGTAATTATCGAACTTCCATATGGAGAGGAAGTCAAGGCAATTTCATGGTATAACAGACTGTTTTAAATTTAAGAGGATAAAGGTAAACTAC